GACCACACTACATATAGCAAGACGAGAATGGTGTGTGTGTTTATTCTGAAAGGGAATATGTGAACGGAGCGGCTCACTGAATAGTTACCAGTAGTGGTTTGATACATTCATGGACTTCACTGACAGATGAATGCTGACCAGTTGGATCATTCGGCATGCACGCCTCCAGCGTGTTTTCCACTGCAAAAGCCTTTTGTTTTCGTAACATAACATACCACCGGGTACAATGCGTAAAGATTCCAGTTATTTAAGCAATAATAATGGTAATGTCCCCCTGTTGCATGCGTTTAGCATGCCGAGTACGAGGGAAGATTAACAACTTTAAGCAAACAATTGCCTCCTCCCCTCTGCTTGTTTTCAGGTGCGGTTGTTGCAAGTCAATGACTTAGTGCAACCTTCTGGGTTTAATTAGACTGAAAATGTTTTACCCAACTGAAATAATGAACTGGAATGATTTGGAATGCATGTAGATGACTTGGATTCTGCCTGTGTAAAATATTTCTGAACTTAAATTGTCTGGTTGTAAAGTGCTTTCTGACACTTTCCATTGTGAATCAGCACTGCAAAAAAATCCCAGAGAAAATGTAAATGCATTCCTGAGACAGTTGCCCATTTTTTAACGTATTCACACACCTGGCTGTGACTGAGAGGCTGGATGGTGGTGGCGTTGTCCAGCTGCTGAGTCCCAATCACTGTCTTCATGTAGAGGACCTGGCAGCTCACGCTCTGCACAAGCACGGAGAAGAAGTTTGGGTTGCTGAAATTCAGCGTGCTCTAGAAAGGAAATAAAACCCATCAGGATTAACTTTATAAATGCCAGAAAAAAAAAAAAAACAGGTTTTAGAAATATCCTCTAAGGACACATTCTAACGTCATGAGTGATTAACATTATGATCAGTGATGTTCCAAGAAGTTATCTGGCAGCCAAAATCAAAAGAAATCTAAACTAATCCGCAGCGAACAGTGAAAAGCTGGTCAGAGATTTGAGAGAAGCAAGACTTTCAGCAGCTACTAGGAAAGCTCAACAGAGGACAGGAAAGTTGCTGCTTTTTATTTTTTTTAGGTCTCAACATCAAGAAACAAGCTGGAAAGATTTAAGACATCTCAGAGTTAAGAGTCTCAGTCAAGACAGATTTGCAAACTGTTGAAATTTTAACTGATTCTACCAACTAAAGATGAAATTGAGGTCCTCTCTGTTTCAAGCTTTTAGGCACAAAAGGGACATGTGCACAAACTGATGGCATAATTATGGTGTCGATGAGATAAAAGCTGTCAGAACAGCTGGCTTTAGAACATGGCGGCCACACTGGATGCTGAACTGGGGCGCCGACTTCCAAAGAATGAATTTTTACTTTAGAGCAGGGCTGTCTGACCTTGGTCCTGGTGTGTCTCTGTCTGACTTGACTCAATGGTTGATAAACAGACCTCTGCCTTACTTGATAGCTGCTGAGGAGGGAATACCTTCATTTAATTCAGGTGTGTTAAAGCAGAGGCACATCTAAAAGATAAAGGAAAGAGGGTCCTGATAACCACAGCTTTAGGGGCTTTATTCACCGTTTTTCTAGCTGGAAACTTGGAAAGTTTAATGTTCAAATATAAATAGAAGGACCTGGCTATTCTCAAAATAGGCTCCTTTCTTAGTAATGCTATAAATGCTAAAATCACTAAATAAACAAACTCTGTCTATTAAACCTTAAGAGGTTTAAAAGTTTAGCTTTGCTCTACAATAACAGTTCTGATCTTACTCTTTGCTATGCATGTTTGGTTTACTTTGGTTGTTACCATTTTAAGTTATGGGATACCTGGAATTGAAGGGCAGACCAACCAACAATTCAAAAGACTGGTTATTAATATAAATAAACAAAAACAAAATTGCCTCCTCAAATGCACAGCTGGGAGGTCCCATCTTATATTAAAGTTCTCACAAAGGTGTTTGACTCTGCATAAACATCTGCCACCAAAGTCTCATCTCTGCAACTCTATTCGCCGAATCATTTTCTCCCCCACATCAACAGGAAGTGGTGAATGGACTCTTAGATCAGAGCATGTTGCAATCATTATAAAAACAAGTTTGGTCTAGCCTCGATCAATGCCCCAGTCCCTAGAACTGGCGGGTCAATCCCAACGCAGTGATGTGCTTTGAATTTCTGGATGCAAAGTGGGCGGGGTTTTAAGGGTGGGACGAAAAAGCTGCTTTCTCAAGCGTTGTGCTTGAGAAAGCTTTCTGTCACGCTTACTACATTATAGTCAGTTGTGCTCATTGGTCAGAGGGTTGGCCAATAGGCACAGACATGGTTTGAAAAATAACGGGTTGTTCT